ATAGCAGAACATCGACAGTTTTATTTTTGTTGCCAATTAGGGTTAAAAATAATTTAATAGATGTTAATCATAGTAAATTATTTTTTTGTCTTTAGTATGCAATAATGACGTCATATATATTTTTTTATTAAACCGTTAGCGCACTATTCCCAACTCTCAACCCCAACGCTGCAACTCCTGTGTAGCCAGGATCTACAGCTTGACCGCCAATAAAAACCCAACCAGTGAAGGTCAAGTTTGCCCCGGGGGAAAGTTAAACTGTCATAGGACCAACATATCAAACCGGTCACAATGAAATTTGACATGCAGGTAGGGCAGCCGCTAGTTTAGATATAACTTCCTATCTACTGCCTACCACGAGATAAAACTAAAACGCCACTGAACTGAACACTAAAACGACACTGAACTGAACAAGAACATACAAAAACATAGAATTCAAAAACAATAGAAAAAGCATGTTCTTATTGAAATTGAAAATGCAAATAATTTATTATTCACGCTGAAACAGCCGAACCGATGGTGATCAATAAAACAAAATATGATTATCTACACACGTGTACCACTAATTACCGGCAATCGATAAATATTAATGAAAAACGATAGTGGCTATGTATTTAATATAGTTTTAACTTTCAAATATTAAATGTATATGCGATAAATAGTATTATTTTGAAATATATGTAAACCGACGATCTGGTAAAAGTCGCGGGAAGAGCCTGAATGCGGGCAGCGCAGGACCGTTCATTGTGGAAAACCTTGGGGGAGGCTTTTGTCCAGCAGTGGACGTCATTTGGCTGAAACGAACGAACGATATGTACCTACATTAATTATTAGGTATTTGTAATATTCGAAGAAGGTTAGGTTTCAGCAGAAAAAGTTAAACAATGTCTGAATAAATCTGACGTTAATAAATACTTAAATGTTGCCTAATATTATAAAACTAGCGGCCGCCCGCGACTTCCTACGCGTGTGGATCCCATTTTACCCCCTTCATCTATCTTACGCGGTTTAGATTTTTTCATACAATTTTTTTTTCCCGCTAACTCCCGTTCCCGTTGGAATTTNTTTTTTTTAATTACTCGCAATATTCAGGACATCTACATAACCCGTCCCATGGTCGGGTCTTTTACCTTATTAATTTCTCAAAACAAAATTGGTAGTACGTAAGTTAGTATCTAATGTACAGTCACGGAATGAAAAGGTTCGTCAGTTTTCAAATTGATTCCTTCAACGAATCGCGAGCACATATTACCTTTTGAAACTATGTTACAGAATAATCTCGAGTTAGAGAAAATAATCTTTAACTGTTCGTCAGTAAAGTTCAAAATTATTTAGATCAAAGTTGTTTGACGATTTAACTTGTCAAGAAGATTATTATGATTGATAAACTAAAACCTTCTTGTTGGTACAACCTGCCATTATTATTTCTATTAAATAAAAAAAACTATTGTCAATTGGTCAATGTCATCATTGCATTGCACTGATGGGATGGAAAAATAAACAAACAAAACCTTATTCGTTAGCAAACGTCATATTTATTTAAATGTTAGCAGCACTGTTTCTTGCACTGTTATGTTGGCAGGTTTGACTCTTACAGTACCTAGTGCAAGCGAAAACCGACACTAAGGTGACGAACCTTTTCATTCCGCGACTGTACTTGCCACTTGGATACCTTGGTGATAAATACAAAAATGAACTTTGAAACTCTGAATCCATAATATTATCACCATGAAATGCACTATAGTCATTACTAACTAGGTACTTAACTAATGTTTGTTTACGTATAGAATTTGCGAACCAAAAAAAAATTATAGGTTAGATTAAACTTGATTATACTTTTATCAGTCATATTGAATATATTTTTTTATGTTTAGACCCGCTCTTATGTTATAACGACATAAAACGAGATAAAACTTACAAAATTCAAAATAAATCACTCGAAAACTCGCCACCACAACAAAACAAGACTAACAGCAAACAAACAAGCGAGCAAATCACGACATTGGCTCTGATCGGATTCATCCACTCATTCAACGCGCCGAACATGACCGATAACAGCGCGGAAACTCCCGAATGCACATTCGGTTTCGGTCGTAGTTTCGGCAAGTTTGCCGCCGAAAACGAAACTAAACCGAAACTCGTGTTTTTACCGAAACTCAACCGAAAACGAAACCGAAACCGAACATTCGGTCGGACACTACTTTGAACTATAGGTCTCACTGAGTCAATGCCTGAAGTTTGTATGGCGCGCGGGAGGGTGTTTTGTGATGTCAAACGTCAGCAAGACTTCAGATGTGCTTCAGACGTGTATGCTCTGTCACGTCATATGTCAATTTTCCTCCCGAGCCGCTCCCATACCTCTGGCACTTTCGTACTGCCTATGTTCTTCAGAGTCTAAAGTCACTGACATAGCCCGACGGATTAGCAAGCTGAAGTGGCAATGGGCAGGGCACATGACTCTTTTATAATGCGAACAGCTAGGGACTGGAATTCGTTGCCTGCTGCTGTCTTTCCCGAAAACTATAATCCGGGCCTCTTCAAGGCGAGAGTGAATAAGCACTTACAGGGCAGATATGTACCATCCTAGACTGCATCCCACTTAACATCAGGTGCGATTGTGGTCAAATACCTGCCTTGTTATGCATAAAAAAAAAACATAGCAGAACTGACGGCAGATAGGGCAGCAAGGTTCCGGAGTGGAGGCCGCGTACCGGAAAACGCAGCATGGGACGTCCACCCACAAGGTGGACCGACCACATCATAAAGGTATCAGGAAGGCGCTGGACGCAGGCCGCTACCAGCCGGGCAACATGGAAAGCATTGGGGGAGGCCTATGTTCGGCAGTGGACGTCCTGTGGCTGAGATGATGATGTTCTTCAGAAATAATGAAGGACTAATGGTGAAAGAATTTTTGAAATCAGTCCAGTGTTTTCAGAGCTTATTCAAGACAAACAAACAAGTGTACATTATCTAAACTACACTCGCGAGCAAAACTATGGAATCACTTACATGAAGTTGTTACCACGCGATCTTGTGTACTAACGAATTTGTTAGTAACAAAAAAAGTAGCACCAATTTAAAGATTAAACTTTTAACTTTGAATTGATACCAAATTCATTTAAATCACACCAGTATTTAAAAAGATATCCTGGCTGATGTGAAGAAGTAAGAAAAAAGACATGTACCAACTGTTTGATACGTCGCGAGTTGCGGCCTATTTACCCCCTATAAAAGCACGTGTTTTCGGATTTTTGCGTTCACACGTTGATCCATACACATCTCGGCTTCTTTTGACACTTTACCTGGGATTCTACACCTACAGAAGCAGCACAAATCGTTGCACTGTTGCAAGAAGGGCTCAGCCAGCGGGCTGTCGCACGTCAGCTCCACATAAGCCAGTCCTGGGTTTCGAAAGTTTNTTAAGCGGTTTAGATTTTTCATACAAAAGGATTTTCCCGCTAATGCCCGTTCCCGTGGGAATTCCTAAGTATCCTATAACCTGCCCAGGAGTATGAAGAATAATTGTACCAAGTTTCGTTAAAATCCGTCGAGTAGTTTTTGTTTCTATAAGGAACATACAGACAAACAGACAGACAGACAAAAATTTTACTGATTGCATTTTTGGCATCAGTATCGATCACTAATCACCCCCTGATAGTTATTTTGAAAATATATTTCATGTACAGAATTGACCTCTCTACAGATTTATTTTAAGTATAGATAAAAGATGTATTATAGGGACTTGCATGAAAAATAAATAAAAAAAACTCATTTCCATATACCTACTTGCAAATTACAAATCTTTCCTGAATATTGCTAAAATTTACTATTAATAATTCAATACATGAGTAAGTAAAGATAGAAATAATTAATGCGCCCTAAACACACGAATCATAAGAAAAATATAATAAATATTTATTAAATCGCATTTAATTAGTACTGAATTATTTTTAGATTGACATGTTCTAAGGAAAATTCTAGTTATTTTGACATTAACTTCTTGCCAAATGATCGAATTTACATAATTTGCAAATGTTTATTTAAACTAAACCAAATTACTTGGTAGTTTGCGGAGCGAAATCTGAATTGACCAATTGAGCTCGCGATTTCTTAAGTAGGTACTATACTAATTTGGAGTAAGAACGTCAGCTAATATTAGAGTCGTAAGATATTTTTAGTAAAGACCTTACTAAAGTTGTGATGGATTATTTTTTTAATAAGGGGACTATCTTAGTCGTGGTAACTAACTAGTCCTTATAATACAAAAACCGCTCTCTCTCTTTTACAAATGCACCATAATTTTAGATTTACACAAAAATGTCAGTAAACAAATCCACTCAGGTTCCATAAAATGTGGAACTCGCAGTGTCCCGTTACCAATAACTTTAGGGCCGCCGTTCCAAGGAATTCATTGGACAAAAAACTAAAACTAAGTCCCAATTTAGTTGGCCATTTTCTAATGGGCAGCGAATTAGTGTTAAAACGTCAGTGGATAGAACCCGCGCCTGCGCAGCGAGTTAGATCGCGTGCCCGCACGAGCGCTCGCGGCGGTCGACTCCCGATGATGGAGAATAGCCGTTTTGACATAATCATGACCGTAGATGATAACTATCTGGGCTCAATTTGCTTAGTTCGATTCTCGCAATTTGATGATTGCACAAAACATTGATAAAATGTCATGATTGACATCGGAACATCGGAGTTTAATATTAGTAGCTCCTGCCAGGGGTCTCTCTCGCGTGGTCTGACAGACCACTATATAAAATCTATTGTGAAATATATATTTCCTAACAAAAGCGTAACTAAGTATAACTTTTCACTTTATCAACTTGAGGAATCTGACTTTTATTTCATCCTCGTCAAATTTTTCGATGACGATTGGTATTGTCATCACGTCGTCGCCGCGTCGCCTTGGCTATTTCCTAAAATGTAATTTATCAAATATGTACATCTATTTTACCTCTTATCACTGGCGGCAATTTCTATAAGAATAGACTTACGTAATCCTTTACTTGGATCTGCAGTACCTATAAATAAACGAAAAAGACAAACAATATCAGCAGAACAGAAAAAAACATGCAGAGACTTACACCAAATACTTAATTATTGTATAATGATCGTTACTTATCACAAAAATTATGCTTCGTTGTTATATTAGTTGCTTGTTTTACAAGTTCCTACTACTACACTCATAGGCAATATCATTAAAGTCAAAAAAACTTAATTGAAAAGGCTATTAAATAAAATAGTATTAATTAAAACATTAATTTCAGGCATAAAATATGTTAACAATTTCTAGTTGTTTCGTCATCTTACACGATTTATTTTGCCAAAGGTCGTTACACCATTGGTACATGACGTCTTAATCGCAAAGAAAACAGAATTTAAGCCTTCGCGTGTCTAACTCGTATTCGTATCCCGGGGCCGACGGTAGCAGGATCGAGTCCAAATTGAGGCCTGTCAGGCGCCGATCGGAGATGCAATTTGCGGGAGCTAGATCGATAGCGATCAACAGCGTGGGAATCGATAAAATCGATAATATCATTAACTTTTTTTTTAAATCGAGTGAACTTTCTGGAGCGTTTTTGACTTGTCTAGTTTTTGTGGGTTATTATGAACTGAATGAACGACGTAATCAAAAATCTTACGCAATTCGTTTTTATATTATTATGTATATTTCAGGTTCATAATAATAACACATCAATCACCATTGTATACGTAAACGTGAAAGTATTTGCTTTTATTTCCTAATTATGCGTAATAATTTCCTATCCGTGGAAACTAACAATTAAAATGCCGAAGCAAAGTTTTTATTTCATACTAGGTTTGTGATTCATAATTAATAGTTAGTCGTGAATATTAATATTATAACTGATTCAAGTTAAATTTCGAAAAATAGGCAAATATGCTTAGTGCGAGTTTGCTAGTGAAGACGTTTCATGTAAACTCATACAAAACCCCCAGAAAAAAAAATCCGTTTTAATATCGAGAAAACGGTCAGACAGAAAAAAAAACTCCATCATGAGCTCTTGAATTTAATTTCGAATCATCTATACCTACTTATAATAAATCTGTAGAGGTCAATTCTGTACATGAAATATATTTTCAAAATAACTACGAGTATCAGGGGGTGATTAGTGATCGATACTGATGCCAAAAATGCAATCAGTAAAATTTTTGTCTGTCTGTATGTTCCTTATAGAAACAAAAACTACTCGACGGATTTTAACGAAACTTGGTACAATTATTCTTCATACTCCTGGGCAGGTTATAGTATACTTAGGAATTCCCACGGGAACTTAAGTTAGACGGTTGAAATTTTGGCATGTAGGTACCTTAGTAAACTTAAAGCTTAGTTACAACAAAGAATTCCCGAAATTCCCACGAATACAGGTATGAGCGGGAAAATCTTTTTGTATGAAAAATCTAAACCGCTAAAGTTAGACGCTTGAAATTTGGCATGCAGGTACCTTAGTAAACTTAAAGCTTAGTTAAAACAGGATATTGCAAAATTCCCACGAGAACGGTAATTAGCGGGAAAAACATTTGTATGAAAAAATCTAAACCGCGTAAGATAGATGAAGGGGGTAAAACGGGATCCACGCGTACGAAGTCGCAGGCGGCCGCTAGTACTAAATAAAATGTTAATGTCAATCATTTTAATACTGACTTAAAAGTAATATTACCAATTGATACCGTTTACCTTAAATCTTTATTGCAACCGAAGGATTGCGTGTACAGTGAGTGGCATATATCACAAAAAACTTAACCATCAGTACCACTTACACGATCACTTTCGCGCAATTTAGATCGAATTATCGATTCATCGACGACATAGCTTATCGAAATTGCAAAGCGAGCTATTAAAATAGTAATACAGGGTATAAATCATTGGCATCCTTTGATTATAAGACTACTGACGATACATAGCACATTCCCCAAATATGAGATAAATCCAATTTGTTTTTTTCCTTTATATTTCTTATTTAAGTATTTATATTATTATGCTCTTGTAAAGAATTTTAAACGACGGTATAGCAAAGAGCATAATAATATATCAAACTATACATTTTTGTTGCAAAATAACACCTATTACATCGAAATAAGATGCCACAGTGTTCATCTTGATGTGCTGTCGCGTGTACAAGATTTTAATCAATTAAATTTTAACTGACTAATAAGTTAGTTACATTTGTCTCATATTCAGGAAATTTACTGGGTATGTATCATGAGTTGTCTTATTATAAAAGGATGCCAACGATTTAAATAATAATTTCACCCTGTATATCAACTTATAGATGAAATTGATTCCGAACGTTAATTGGAAGAGCATAAAACAAAAGAATGCAGCTGTGTTATTAGGCACAGATTAATTGCACCAATTGATATAGCCTTAACGGAACGAGCTATACGAAGAGCGCCTATTGAGGTATATTGCACGGATTCTCACGCCACCGTAGTTAGCGAGCTATAGTGAACCATCTCGGTTCTGAGAATAACTATGTATCCCACGTAATAATAGGGTGAATTTCAACAAGTGCATATTTTTGCCTAATTTTGGTGGAAATTGTTATTTGTGTATTTTTATTCTCTAATTATAGATCAAATTTATTGGAAACTTATACTGTTTCTAAAATGATTAAGACANTTTTGGCTACGGAACCCTAAAAATATACTTTTTCCCTAAGTTTTGTTTTGATCTTCAGCTAAAAAAATACATATTGTAAGAAATTAAGGATGTGGGCACTGCACCAAAATTAGAAACGCTTAGTTCAATTATTTTTTGTCGAATTTGTAAAAGAAAATACTCATTAATAATGTTGTCCTCAAAATGGAACCTCTGTATATTTTCGTGTAAAAAAAAATCAAAGTTCTATGTCATAAAAAACATATGATTTTCAGCTACGCCGCTCAAAAAATGTGTTTGGGAAATTGACCCAAATACAGTTCCAATTGTTTTCACACATACAACCTTATTCGGTTGTATCAATGTTTTTATTGAGAACAGCGGCGTGCGTGCAGTCGGTTGGAAAAACATTATTATTCACCCCTTTTCTGATGGAGCGATCAAAATGATAGGGTTTGGTGATAAGCGACCACTTTTCTGATTGGCTGACATTTATAGGGTTATGAAATGTTTGCGGTGTGATAGTACTGTTGAGTTCGTAAAAAAAACGTTACAATTGACAGCTCATCAGACCATAGCCAATAAATTAATAGTCTTAGCACTGTTGCCTCGATTTATTGTAAATATTCTTAAAGGTATCTATAAGTAGATATACTTATTTTAACTGACAATCCNGACAATCATATAGCTCACTGAAATTGGTACGTTAGCTAAGAACTGATTTGACGGTGATTTTATCGTATTTAAATAAGTATAATAAAGTTTGCCCATCCCACATTTTTAAGTTTTGCTTAGCTTTCCTTTACACACTATAAAATTTAAAGTTGAAAAGTTAAAACTTAATTTTTATTCTAGAAAACACTACAGAAAGTAACTATAACATAAGGCAATAAGCACGTAGGCAAGTTATTATTATCTATTTCTACTATGGTAGTACTGAAAAGTACTTGTTTATCGATTTCCGTTCTCAATTTTATCGACTCTACAAACATGGACAGCTTTTCATAGAAACACTTTTAATGGCAGGAAAACTAGCGAAACAGCAAATAATAAGTTGGAGGTAATAGACTCATTATTATGTACTAAGTTGAGCAAATATACGGCGTTTAATAGATGTTATACTATACACCTATTTCTAGCTTTCGCAACTGAATTGTATATAATTTCAGTAATATTTTTACACCTTTCACAATATGCAAACACGTTGTTTTGAGCGTGGATACAAGTAAAAGGGAAAACTAATTTATTTTGAATTACAAATAAAAAGTAGTTGTTTGCAATTATTTTTCTTGCATTTAATGTTCAACTCCATGTATCTCGCCCACAGTTTAACAGCAGGCGATATCATAATTGCAAACGTTTATTAGTTTTACAAAAAAAGTTTAATCCAGAATATTAACTTATTGAAAACAATCTTTTGCAAATTTTGCGTAGATAAATAACTAAAGTGTTCGCAAATGACCTGTACCTACGAGTATAATCCCTTACAAGGATGTTCACTCATTACAAGTCACCCTGGATAATATTAGTATTATGGATGTCTCTTTAAGTTTTATTCAATTTAATTGTAGATTTTTTAAAACCAGCTTCAGTCGACTCCACGTATCCCATATCCCCATCTCGCTACCGTTTAATAGCAGCGATTTGATTACAAATTACAATGATTACGGATCGGGATCGTCCGACACGCGCGGCGGAGGGCGGTGCGCGCGCGCACGCCACGGTCCTTCGCGTCTATTTTAAAAATTAAATTATTTTAATTTACTCATGGAACACTCTTAGGGCGTCTCTGTAGGTAATTGCGTAAATCGCTTTTAAAAGCGTCAATAATATAAATAATATAGCCATAAAGCTAATTTACTTTTAAGTCTACATGACATGACCTGAAGTCAATCCGTGTCCTTCTGAAAGGTCAAGTGTCAAAAATCGGAACTATCTATAAATCGGTATTTATAGTAGCGCCCTCCTGTTAATGTCATATCTGGGACACTTTAGTGTTGTCCAACATTGCATCAAACATGCCAATATTTTGATTGACATGCCATTTTATTGATTGATCTTACTTATGTAAGTACTTTCCTTGTGTTGAATTTCATACCGAATTAGTAACTTTATTTATTTTTAGAATTTACCGGAATAGTACCTAACTTTATTGAATTTTGTAGCTACAAGTTGAGTCCTGTGCTCTTAATAGCTTGGAAAAAAGTTAATTTATTGAGAGATCTTTATCAGAATTTCTTCAATATTTCTAGAGTTGACTCTACTTAGATTTTTACAGAAAACGGAAAGGTGATATACAATTTATAGAGAATATTATTTTTATAAATAGAAAAGCAACTTAATGAAACGCAATAAAGCTGACTAGAGCGGTCCGTTTCAAAATTATCGGCTGCGAACGTT